TTAAAAATTTAGACAATTCTGAATATTTTATATGAACTTATAATCATTTTTCAGGTATAAATTATTAAATTTTCTTTTACACAAGATTTATTTGTTTATATCTTTCAATCTATCCTAAACAGTATTATGAAATATATATAATATATAACATGCAATTATTTATTATGACATTGTCACAATGCCAGAATGGATATTTCTATCGTACTTTTAATTTATTTAATTTAAAATATAGGCTTTAATTTCAGTAGTGTTTTGCCCCTGCACATCATACTTATCCTGTTAATGATAGTCATGCCATCGTCTATTAACTCTGTTCCGAAAATTTTTTAATTGAAATAACGTGACTTTCGGTCCAAACCCAGCTCATATATAGTCAGTAGGGGTTTCCTGCCCCTATGCTTTCTGTATCTGATCTTGACGTTCATCTACCTAATTTCATTTCCAAGATGAATGGACAGGCAACCAGATGCTAGTGGGAATATATATATAATAGAGTATGTGGTCATAAGAACAACTACAATACAGCAATATAGAGAGAGTTCATATTGACGGTTACTATTTATATTCAGTATGATTGAGGATATTGAACAAAATATTGATTCTTTATTCACTTAGAATTTGCATACTATTGTAAGTATATTAATATTGAATAAAGTCTGTCAGATATCTACAAGATAGTTTCAAATTTATATTATATTTTCGTACATTTTTATAGTAACAAAATTTAATTTCTCTGTTACTTCCAGTGGATCCTATTTCGTTTGTGTCTCGAAGTTTTCGTGAATACCTTTTGGAAAAAACAGCTACAATACTAATGACTCCAGGAGTGGAAGATTCTCTATCTGCAAACATTCATAAAAGGTATAAAAATAAAATGCATAACAATTTGTATAAATTATTGCTTAAAACAATTAATTTATGAAAAACAGTATTTAGTTTTATAATTATAATAATTTAAACTTTTTAGGAGAAAGTCATTTGGAGCAGAAATCTTAAGTTATGTAGATCTTTTGATGGAAGCAAGTAAAGCAGCTGGTACGCCTCGAACTATTGCAGTTGCTATCGGTTCTAGTACAATCAGACTCCAAAGCGAAGATTCTGTAATTCAGTGGTGGGCTGCTTTAATTGGCATTGCCACAAATTGGCTACTCGATGAAGAGAATAAGTCAGAAAAGTTCTACACAATTGTTGAGAATATGCCTTCTTCACTTAATGGTGTTCGGTATATAAAATTTATTTTGATTTTTTTTAATTCTGTATTATATTTTTAATCTAAAAATTTTATATTGAAAAGGGATTTTTTTTAATGTAGACATCCATTACCGAAAGCTCTCACTGCAGCTTATAAAGCACGGTCGGCTTTTCGTCATCAGTCTGTGACTTTAAACGAATGTGTAATTGCTTGTGATAAGGCTGGTGGATTGTTAAGAGACAGTATGAATTACTCTTTACATCAGACTCCTCCAACAATTATACAGGTAAAGTTTCAAATATTTTATGCCAAATTATTTTTAGATTAAAAAATGTCTATTTGTACATATTATTATGTAATGTTAAAAATGTATCATCTATTTTATGTGAAGCTTTTTGTTTTTGTTATAATTAAGTTTTATCATAGTTGATTATGATTAATGAATATGGTTAATATATATATATAAAATCAAATAGTTTATATATTCTATTATCTAAAGCAAATAACCCAATTCTATAGACAAAGCGAAATATATAATTTTTACTTATAAAATAAAATATAAGTAAAATCTCTTGCTGGAATGGAGAATTTTATAACAGAAAATACAAATGTGCAAACGTATTAATTTCAATTAAGTGCTGAAAAGTAAGTCACACTGAAAGAGCTCTCACTTCAGTTGTTTAAGTTTAATTTTATTTTCATTCCTAAGTTGTTACTTCAGTTTTATTATCCAAACTTTTTTATTAATTTGTTTTTGATTTGCAAACAGTTATAAGTGAGAATGCCAGTTTCAGGGTATAATAATGCTGCTAATTATTAATTAAAAGTCAAGTAACTTACCCCAGAGCTAGGTGTTTGTCACAATTTCTATAACATCTCTCAAGACAAAAGATGATCTGCATCAGTGTTTCCCGATCTTTGTCATTGCAAACCCTATTTTTGAGCTAAATTTTTTGTGTGATTCAAAAAATTTACCTGAAAAAAGAGTTTGCAATGTCATAAAGCTTGAGAACACAGATGATCTATATCATTGTCCTGGATGATGTGATAGAGATGGTGCCTAATGTCTATCTCTGTTATATGCAAAACAGATCAACAAATATTTTTTGAGATGTACTTGGTTGAATAACTATGATGTGACGGTTACTATAACAAAAAGTATTGATTTATAATTGCAGTTATTTAATTTTTTTTATGCATTTACTTTCCTGTTACCCAATATATATAATGATGGATAATGTGTTTCTTGGTACATCTACTTTTTGAAAAGATAAACTTTGTGGCTTTGTGTTTTAACTTAGTTACTGGATCATTAATACAACAAAATTTGGAAGTGCTGAAGATAAAATTTAAGATGGTTGCTGTGAATGGAAAGTATTAGCCTGAAAAATAATGTTATTGGTAGCCTCTGACATAATTTTTTATAACATCAGTCTATAGTCTCACGTCATTTAAGGTTTTGGTTTATATAAAAATGCAGTAGAACTGCGTCTTTCAAAAGTGAAAGTAATCACAAAAACAACCCCCATAAACATTACTAAAGCATATTTATTGGGTAATTATCCATTGCTAAACTTAGCAATTTGTGTGAATTCTGCTTGAAATACATTTTCGAAAGGGAGCTGGTTGTAAATAAAATGCTGACAATGTTATAATTCACACATCAATTGTCTGTGTTGAAATTAATGGTAATAAGTATTAATACAATTGAATCTTTTAATACCTTGGATGATGGTAGTTTCATGGATTTTATTTGTTTTTGTTAAGAAAATTATTGTTGTCATGGTGCATTGTAGTTGCATTGCATCTGCATTTAATAAGTGCAGTGCTTCTCCAGTGCAATCATGGCATCATTATTTATCTGCAGATATTTTAAACTGACATCAGCATTTGTTTTATAATTATTTTAGTTTTCAGTTATTGATGCATTAAAATAGTTTAATATTTTGAAACTATAGTGAATACTATAAATTTCAGTTGTAACATTAGAATTATGTTTTTATTAAAATTTTTATACTCAAGAATAAAATGTAAAGATGAAAACACTAAACTATGGTCTATCACTGATTTCATTTTAAAATATTAATAAGGATCATCAGGATTCACAATTCTCGTGATTTGTTTAAACTGTTGTTTTCTTTAGTACGTTAGAATGATGTTACAAGTCAGGCTTGCTAATGATGCAGTCTGGTATCTTGTGAAGGAAACTAATCCAATCTTAAATATATATCTATGTAAACTAAACTTTTTAGTAAAAGAAATATATTCACTTAATACCAATAGCTAATTTTTACTTTTAAAATATAAATTTCATCTGTCACTTGCAATCAGCAGCATCATTCCAAGAACAAAACAGTTATTTGTGGAGATGACTGCACCTCTGCAAAAAAATGTAAAATGGATAAGGCATCGTCACCAGAGGATGTCTTTAAGTTGTAAATTATGCCATAAACAATAGATGATGATGATTTTTGTGTGCGCGCACACAAAAATCATCTATTGTTTATGGCATAATATACAACTAAATATAAAATATATATATATAATATTCACTTATTTTGGTAAAACTATAGTTTATTACCATTATGGATTATCATCATAATTTTTGTTTTAAATTAACAGACATATTTTTGATAAAAATTTCCAAAACACAGAATTATTTGGAGCCGACACACACAAAAAAACACTATAAACAAAAACCAATAGGACTACTTACCAATTCTGCATCATTCCGCTTGCCATTGCTTAAGCTCGTTTTCATTGTGGAGCAGTACTGTGGACGGCAGATGCATACTAAATGTATCGCATGACTCGACTTCAACATCACTCGCTTATATGACTACTTAGAAACATCAGCACACAACATCTGATGTATTTCTGGAGAACTTTTCAGAGTCTGAGGGCCACCGTTTGATAAGCATCATGTCTGTTGCATTCTAGTAATACCATAACATCCTGTAACAAAACTCATTGACTTAAGATTTGGTAACAAAAATTTATTTTAGGATTAACTCCATAAAAACCAGAATAAATAAATTATCAAATTACTTTAAAATTCAGATTAAATGCTTATAATTCTAAATACATAGATTTGTCATCTAAATTTACAAGTATACATGTTATATATAATTATCTGTTTTAATTAAAAATTTGAACTGAAGTTATATAACAATAATATATACAGAATATTGTATATATTTAATACAGACTTTTCTGTTTGGAAATAAAAACGTTTCCTTTAAAATTTATTTATTTATTTTTTAATGAATCATTTGTTAGTATCTGTAGTCTGTTAAAATCATTTGTCAATGAGTAGTTAAACTAATGTAAAGATGTTAACACTGTCCCCACTATCATTAAATAATAAACAAATAATTTTGGTACTTTTATAATATAAAAGCACTAGATAACATCACAGAAAAATTGACTTGGTAAGATAAAGCATGAGAAATGAAGTTTAGAATGAATAAAATGAATCTACCTAGATATGACATAGTTATTTTACAGAGGTGCTGCTCCATGACAAAAAGCAGCTTACACAATGGCAGGCTGAACAGTGCAGTTGGTAATTATTCCTATTGGTTTTTGTTTATAACATTTTTTATATGGGTAGGCACCAAATAAATCTGTTTTGGAAATTTTTATCAAATATGTGTGTGTTAAAACAAAAATTAGGATGATAATTCATAATAGTAATAGCACTTATTTTGGTAAAACTATAGTTTGTTACAAATTGCTGATAGCACTAACATATGTACAGGTATACAATATGGAGATTAAAATTGGTACAAAGTAATTACATGTTGAATGCTGTTCGAGAAATTGCAGAAAGCATAAACATAAGAAGAGATGACAAACGTACTTACGTTATGCAGATTAACAATAGTGCAGTAATCATCTCTGATAATGGTTGCTATGAATTTTTCTTTTAGAACATTGCAACTATTTCCATTGTCATTTTTTTTAAAGCATTTATTTTGGCAACATTATTTAGTGTATTTAAAATATTGCATATTACAATTCCTAACTTAATAATTGAAAATAAAATATACACAAATAAGTTGTGTACAAATACAGATTTCTTTTTGCCATGTGCTAAATTAGATATTTATGACATGAGCCGTAAATCCATCGGGCTAGTTTTAAGGCTAATTACTAAATAAATTACGTAATTAATTTGGCACTAGAGGTAAGCGTTAGGCGCCATCTCTTATTAANCAGCATCATTCCAAAAACAAAACAGTTATTTGTGGAGACGACTGCACCTCTGCAAAAAAATGTAAAATGGATAAGGCATCGTCACCATAGATGTCTTTAAGTTGTAAATTATGCCATAAACAATAGATGATGATGATTTTTGTGTGCGCGCACACAAAAATCATCTATTGTTTATGGCATAATATACAACTAAATAGAAAATATATATATATATATATATATATTATATTCACTTATTTTGGTAAAACTGTAGTTTGTTACAAATTGCTGATAGCACTAACATATGTACAGGTATACAATATGGAGATTAAAATTGGTACAAAGTAATTACATGTTGAATGCTGTTTGAGAAAAATTGCAGGAAACATAAGAAGAGATACAAACGTACGTACGTTATGCAGATTAACAATAGTACAGTAATCATCTCTGATAATGATTGCTATGGATTTTTCTTTTAGAACAATGCAACTATTTCCATTGTTGTCATTTTTTTTAAAGCATTTATTTTGGCAACATTATTTAGTGTATTTAAAATATTGTATATTACAATTCCTAACTTAACTTATTTGTGTATATTTTATTTTCAATTATTATGTACAAATACAGATTTCTTTTTGCCATGTGCTAAATTAGATATTTATGACATGAGTCAATTATTTTAGCTTATAAATTTCTATAACAGATTCAATTATCAAAATAATTTAAATACTGACTTTTAAACTGTGAACTCTCACTAAAAACAGGCAGCATATTTTCTACCAATATATGCTGCCTGATTTAAAAGCCAGCATTTAAATTTATGCATAATAAAATGTTATAAATATACCAGACAAAAAATTAGTCACCGATAACAGAAAGAACAATAGGTAGTTACTGGTTGCCCAGAGGGTGCCATGATAGAATTGTTGGGAGATAAACAGTACAATCATGGTCTACAGGGTCATTTCTGTCTTGCAAACTCGTGAAGTGACATGAGTGTCAAATCGAGTCTGCAATGTGAGTTGTATGACAGACATTACCGATTTGGAAAAAAGAAGCCATTGTGTTTGGCCGTGCCCATGGATACAAAGTGAACGAAGTTGCCCAATTTGTTGGTGTTTTCAAGTGTACTGTCCAGAAAGTGTACAAATGGTGGTGTAGTTCGGTCAATTGAAAATCATCAATGGTGGGAGATACACCGTCTCCCATTACTAGGTATGTTCTGACTGGTGACTAATTTTTTGTCAGGCTTGCTTATATATTTCTGCACGTAACAATTGAAGGCATTATTGACAAACTGTAAACTCTCACTAATTGTAAACAAAATTGGTTCAAAACATTTCAGCAAATAGAAAAAGAAATTGCAGATAAGTTTATCATGTTTTCAAAAAATATAAATTATATTTTGTTAAAACATATAGGACACATGTATCAAATGTTTTCTTATATTTCATTTTTTTAAAATATATATGTATACATATTTCTTTTTTACTGATACTGTCTGTAATCACTCTTAACTTTTCTTTTATATATTGTATATAATCTTATTAATCTAAACAATTTCTTGTAATAATTAGTTTGGATTAAGAAAAATACATTTCGGAAAAGAAATTTTTTAAGCATATAAATGTATAAAGATTTAAAATTCGAGTATCTAATTAATATTTGAACCAGATACTTACCAAAACACTACAATATTGAGTAACATGTCTTCGTAACAGAATTTGCATATTATGTTAGCAATTACAATTTATAAAAATTCAACTAATATGTAATTTGGCTTGATCAGTAGTTCTTAACTGAGGGAAGGGTCTGTGGGTTTGGAAGGGTAAATATCAACTTAACACAAAATTTAAGATGAGAAAAAACTGAAGCACACATATTGTTATATAATTGGTTTCCTGTGTAATTTAATTTTATGCATTTAAAAGCATTATTCCAATAAGAGATTGGTCTGTGACCTTCACCTGACCAGAAAGAGGTTCACGGAACAAAAACAATAAAGGATCCAGGGCTAGATAAATTCTTTAATGATTAAAAATGACTGATTTATTAAGCTAAATTTGCTTCCTAAAACATGCATTATGAAATTGAATTTATTTATTTAATTCTGTTTCTGATGAAAGAGTAATTATATGAATGGTTTGGGTGTGAAAGATAGGTAAGTACTTAGAGAAAATGGATAATTTTGAATGTCCTTAGAAGTTTTCTATTCTAATTAAAGTAAACAAAGCAAAAGTACATATAATAATTAAATTGAAATGCTTTGCTGTTTAGCTGTTAGCATGCATCGTAATGTACTAACGGAAGTGGCACTTATGTTTTACATCCAAACCCTTCATATATAGTAAGTTAATTTTATAAATACTAAAGCCATACATATATATATAACTTATGGAGAAAGATGGAATTAAAGATTAGAATTAATAAGATGTTTTCTATCTTAATATTAAAATAAAATTGAAAATTATTAATATAAAAGTTTTTATTTTAGCTATTTCAACTGTTAGCTGTCGACTGGTTACTTTCTACTAGGACTGCAATATGGGAAGAAAAGCAGAAGATGAATCATACCGGAGAAATTGATTTTCATATTTTAAGTGGATTTCAACAAGATTTGCATTGCTTAAGAAGATTGGCGTACCATATGTCTGCAGCATATTCAAGAGTAAGCAGTTTTTATATTGATTTGAAATATAAGTAACTTCCTTCTTTTGGATACTGTATTCACTAATTAGCATACTGTGAACACATTGAGGAGGGAAATATGAAATTCCCAAACTCACATTATAAGGCAAAATTTATGAAAAAAGGTCAAGGGGAAGATAATGATGGGGCTGGATGGACAAGAAATTATTCATAAAAGTCACAAAAGAGAACAGTGGTATTTGCTGTCTGTCAACCTTCCTTAGGTGAAGGCACGGACAGAAGATTCACTAATTAGTTTAAGTTTGCATTCAAGTGTGTGTGTGTGTACATATATATATGCTATATAAATTTGACAATGCATCTGTGCAGTAAGTGGAAGTTGCAGGTTCAGTCCTACTGTTTTCTTCCAGAAATTCTGAATTAATTTTTAATTTTTTAATTTATCATCATCGTAAGATTGCAGCTTAACTGCCTACATCTATACAAATTACTTTGTTTCTAATTATTAACTTAATAATTACAATTCACTAACTTATTCAATTAAAACTCCTGAATCATCTTTAATATTGATTAGTAATCATTATTTGTACATCAAAAGGAACTTTTACTATTTAGAAGTGTTGAACACAAGATTGTGTTGTTAATCAATCACATGGCTTCTTTTCCACCTTTAGTTGACAAATGAACATGAACTTTTACTACTTTGTAACTAAATATTTTATATTGAGAGAACTAATAATTAGCTTGTGCACACAGTACAAATGATAAATTGACTACATCTTGTTAAAGGAAAGTAATGAAAATATTTTAATTGTGATTACATTAGGAACAACCCATGATACTATTTTTGTTGAACTAGATTAAATTTCAAAGAAATGTCTTAATGATATAATTCTATACTTCTTTTACACAGTACAGATACAGTAGGCCTTCAATTTAATAGAATGATTGGAGAAAGTCTACTAAATGAAATTGTTCTAAAAGCACATATTAATAATGAACTTAACATTTTAATACATATTGTACATTGTATTTTTATTTAATCTGGAACAGAGTTAGCTGAAAAGCGAGAGCAGATAGGGAAAGTTTATGGGCTGGATGTCTCAATTAACTATGTATGAATATCTGGTGTGGACAGGAAGCCACATGATTTTTAAAAATTAAAATATGATTAAAAATTGCAACACAACATGTAATGACTTCACAATAATAATTTTATTTTTAAAAATTCTATTTAATGAATGTAACTATATTATTGTAGTTAAATTTGAAATATGGATGGTTCATCTCAGTTAAAGTTAAATAATAAATGGTAACAGAAACAAATCATTTTGTAACACGTATTACTATTTTAAACTTTTATGAATTACACTATAAGAAAAGTAGGGTATTTGCTCACACATTTACCTTTGATGTGGAACCCTGGTCAATCAGGATTTTGCTGTACTTGCAATATAATAGAATGTATTGTATGTATTATATTTGTTGATTTATTGACCCACCCTATAGCTTGTTCTATCCACGAATAAAAAATTACACACCCATTAAATCAAGGATCCACTGTATTAAATAGTGTTTTCATTTTGAACTTTAATTAGCTGTGTGTGTGTGTGTGTATATATATATATATGCATGCCCCATCAGTATTTATGCAAATCCAAAGTTGATTGGTTGCATTGCAGAACACATTCAATGGGGAGGAAGGGGGTAAATTAAACATTTTAAAATTTTCTTGAACTACTTCCTTCATCTGACTAGTCTTTAAGACTCCACTAGTGTCTAGAAAAGTAAAAGTTGAAAACAATTTAATCCATGCATTTTATAAAGAAATACATGTGTGTAACCATGTCACTAAAATATGTCTTTGAAGATAAGTATCATCTGTTTTGTTAAGTAACTACAGTAGAGCATCGATTATCTGAATCAGTTGGGGACTGGGGTTGCTTGGAAAATTGATTTTTCGGATAACTGATTATGTATGAAAAAATATATTAACCTGTCCCATGTCGAAATTCGTTCAAATTCTGGTATGTCCTTAAGTACCCTCTCATGTCGTGCCAGTGCTGCCAGCTAAAACACGCACACAAACAAAAATAATATTGGAGTAGCCCAAGATGTAACCAAAGATTGCAGCACCACAGCACTAGTGGAAATTTAAATTTGCCGACTGGAAAGCTTTCGGTTAATTGACATTTGGATAATCGATGCTCTACTGTACTTAACAAAATAAACGATTACTTCTCTTGATTTGCCAAATATAGTAAGTTTAATTATTATAATTTTACAAAAGTTAGTCTAAAGAATCTTAACATATTTTGTACCTTTTGGAACTTTGTATATGTATTATCATCTGTTGAACATTTTCATACATTGGTTTTTAATTAGAATCAAATACAAAATGTCAATGCACATTGTTAATATTTTAAAGTATTTTATGATATGAACCTCTAAATTTACTAATTATAAAAATGAAACAAAGTTTAATTAATGAAAGTAATTTTTTAATTAATGAAAGTAATTTTTTAATTTTTAACTTCTTTCATATATTTATTAGGATAAGCAGATAAGTAATTATTAGAATTATATACTTGTTTTACATTAAAAGTAAGCTATTAACTTATAGATTTTTATTTTTGATTTCAGCTTTACCTGTATGAAGCAACTATTCGGTTAATAGCTGGTGTTAATCCTACAAAAACTCAAATGATGTTAGAGAAAACTTTCAGAAGAAGAAATAATAATAATAATGTTTCCTTAATTTGTACAAAAAGTAAGTTTTTAGTTTTAAAAAACTACATATGATACTGTATTAACCAATGAAAGTATTATTGGGTTGTTCGGAAAGTAATTTCGTTTTCTTACCACTAGACGGATTAGTTGTATTTTTCCTGCCATTTTGATTCTAAACCATATTATCATTATATATTTTGACAGCTAGCATTTTAAGGCTTATTTGTAAAAAATTTTGTTTGGTTTTGTGCAATTGTTTATTTTTTGTGTCCCATTAAATATGGAAGATCGAAAGCAGCATTTTTGGCATATTTGCTCTTTCATTACCGAGAAGGTAAGAATGCCATTCAAGCGAGAAAAAAATTGTGTGACGTGTATGGAGAAGACGTATTGACAGAACGACAGTGCCAAAACTGGTTTACAAAATTTTGTTCTGGCAATTTCAATATTGAAGATGCACAACGTTCTGGATGGCCAGTTGAAGCCAATGAAAACAAAATAAAGGTACCGATTGAAGCAAACTGCCGAATAACAACACTTGAAATCACTAAGAGATTAAATTTGTCAAATTGAACCGTTTATGATTACTTGAAACAAATTGGTTTCGTTTCAAAGCTCGATATATGGGTTCCACGTGTTCTTAAAGAGAGATGTTCTCATTGGTGAGATTTTAAGATTTTTTTTTTGAGCTTTTACCAGACAATTTAACAATTGATTCGAAAGTGTACTGCCATTGAGTAAACAAATTGAGTAATATCATCAAACAGAAAAGGCAGCCAGAATTGATCAGCAAAACAGGTGTAATGTTTTTTACCATGATAATGTCAAATTTCACACAAGTTTGGTAACTCGTCAGAAACTGTTATAACTTAGATGGGATGTACTATCACGCCAATCATATTCGCCAGATCAAGCACACTCAGTTTATTACTTGTTCCGGTCTATACAGATTTTTTTTTAACTGTAAGACATTTACTTGAAATGACAATGTCAAAAATCACTTAGATCAGTTTTTTGTAAGCAATGATCAAAACTTTTATGAATGTGAAATCATGCTACTACCAGAAACGATGACAACAGATATTTGACCAAAATGGTCAATATATAATTCAATAAAATATTTATTTATTATAAAAATATTGTGTTATTTTTCCACGGAAAAAAATACGAAATTGCTTTCTGAACAACCCAATACTTAGTTTTTTAAAAGGCACTAAACTTAATTATAAGATTTTATCAATTTAATTTGGAAATTTGGTCAGTCATATGTCACATATGACTGACCAAAGTTTTGGAAAATTACTTCTATTAAAAATTTTTATTATTCTTTCCATTTGTATGTTTTCCTATATACTTGTTCAGCTACATTACAAAAACTTACAAAAACCCACAAATTTCTTTGAAATGCTAAAATGAACCTGTGAGTTTCCTTCCTACAGACCAATATTCCACAGGAACACAATAACATATCATGTTTGGTTACTTCCATTCTGGAAGTAAAATACAGTAAGTACGCTTAATGTGGTGGATGCATTCCTAGACAACAAAGCACTATGCGAAACAGCGTTAAACAAGGTCATTTTAACATAGAGTAAATAGGGATAGGGGAACATGCGACCAAAAATAAACAAATTTTACTTTAATTTTAAGTTATATTATTATACAAAGTAATATAAAAATATGTTAAATAACACACACACATATTCACACAGAAATGTAAAGTTAATTTTTTGTAATGAAGGTCCTGACTTATCTGAAATTCTTGTTCGTTTGCAATAGTCATGAAGTTTCATTTGTCGCTTTTTTATTTCCTTAAACAAACGTCGGTAACAGAAGATTGCATCCAAAATGCCTCGTTTTGCTTTTGCACTCCTTTCAAAATCTGGATCATTTGCTACAATTTGATCAACAATTTCAGTTATCTTACCAAACTTTTTTACTAAGGAAATTTGTAGAGAAATTTTTTGGGTTCTTTGTTTTCAGAATCTCTACTTTCCAGTTCCAGATGAATTCCATGTTCTGCCAGTTCTTGAAGGTCGTTGTTGGTAAGGCTCTCACCAGAAACCTGCTGTAACTCCTCAATATCCTACTCGTCTATATCTTCTAGTCCTGCTATATTGATTAGGTTGAGTTTGGTCAACCTAATGATACAGTGATAGTCTCTTCTCATTGAGAATTCTTGGATACCTTCAGCCATAACTTCTTCCACCCTTTGTGCATTTATGAGTTAATTCTTGCCAAGCGAAGTCGATATTTTCTATGGCATCCGTGATGTTATATTTTTTTCCAAAATTGCACCAAACAAACATAGAATTAAAGAAAGTACACCTTTTTGCCACCTGTTGCTGATTGGTTTGTGTTTGCAAATAATCATATTATATATGAATGAATGTAATGCCGCAATAATTTAAATTAGCATAAATTTTGAGCTTTTTTAGGCTTTGAGCAGATCACATTATATGGAATCAGTGTTAAGCGGGATCTTACTGTAGTTTTATAAATTTACTAAAAGAATGTGATCTAATGGTGCATAATTGGATAAAATTAGCTTTGACGGTGTTACCATTGAACTGGTGTTTTTGCCCGAATACCAGTAATTTACTTTATTGCTTCCAATGTAAAACATAATAATGCATTAGTATTTTAAAAATCGTAGTTTTACCAAATACTCCCAATATTTCAAAGGAAGAAAGTACTTCAAGGCAATAATTATTGAACAAAAACAATTTAGAAGGGTGGATAGATTTTTTTACAAAAACATTGAGCATTGTTAAGTGCATCAGCTAGTTCTTTAATAATTTAGATAATGCATTACTTTTGACATACATAAGCATCAATAACACTATTTAAATTTATTGTAGATCTTACTGGTTTCTTAAAGAAAATTAGTGAAATAAGAGAAATTAAATGACTCTAAAATTACTTTCTATTTTATAAAAGGCCAAATAAAATATAAGCCTGATTCATTCATTATATACATCAAAATAATGCTTTTACTCTGCTAAATATACAGTACAGTTATAAAGTCTGAAAACATACGTCAAAACCTTCTTTTATGGGCACGTCACATACCATCATCCTTATTTAGCAACATGCAGCACAAGCATCTTCGATGTACAGTCTTCCTGTGTATTCCAATTACAAACTTATTAATAAAATAATTACTTCTCTCTTCAGGTGCAAATATCGAGGATCAGGTACTGCAAGAAAGAGATCAAGCAGAAGCGCTGTTACTGGCCTGTCGACACTTGCCGGATCTAGTCCTGTCGACCCCGGGCGAAAAAGAGAGCATGCTGGCGGAAGCAGCCCGCATACTCGAATGTTTGGGAGACAAAAAGAAACTACAGGAATGCCATCAAATAATGATTGCATTGGGTAGTATAGTGACTTCTGCTCAATTGTAAAAAAAAAAAAAAATGTATTGTCATTATTCACTACATTAATATTTTGTATTAACATAATTATAATTATTATGTTAGTATTTATAATAATCAAATTTTAGATCCCTTTTTTTATATATGAGTTTAATATATATATTGTATTCAGTTGTCTGAAATTCTAAAGTATTTTAAATTACTCTTAATTTCATGCATTTTGTAGATATAAAATGATTTTTATAAAACATAAAATTAAGAATCATAATGCTTGAAATGAATGACTTAACAGTAGAAATCTCTAATAAATTAGTTAAGTAAAGATATTTTCTTTTGTTTTTTTGCAAGGTACAAACACAAAGCTGTATAACTGGCTACAATTTTGGTCATTGCTAATTGATTTTGCTCCATTATAGTGTATGAGGGTCGTTAAAAACGAACAGTGAAAGAATGGCCTGTTGCTGACAAACTAGTAAAAGTAAAACGAAAGAGGATTTAACTTGATTTAAACCCTCATAACTAGTGGCTAGTACAAGTTAGGACATAATTTTCCAGACCTTGCGCTTATCAATACATAACGAGCATAATTGCAGCCATTTATATAGTGTACAATGTGCAACTCTCCCACCAATTCATTAAGTGGAGATGCACAATTATAATTGAAACCACCATAATTTTTTTTTATCCCGGTCGTACTGATCCTGTTCCTCATCACCCATCTGCCATATTATTGTGCTGGTGTGGATATACTGTATTCTTCATGGACACGGTAGGGTTGCAACGCCAAAAGTACCATAGTGGCGAGTTTTAGTACTAATAAATTTTCGCAAATGTCTTCATCATGTCCACATTTGGAAGTTCTAAATCTCTCCGTACACAGCGTTAAATCGGGGTATGTTAATAATTACGATCACCCGGTATTGAGTATATTTTATATAATTTATTTTAATTTATAATGAAGCACACGACAAAGTAAACTTTTTCCAGTAGAAAAATCGTTTTTAAATTGAACTGCGATGCTTTAAAAATTAGGGTAAATTACTCTATAAATGTTCTTCGAATTTCATATAATCAATAATAAACGTGATAAGGACTGGGTCAGTGTATTTGGGACACCAAACGTGCTAAATACGTTAACAATATTGATCGACTCGTATTAAAAATACGTCAACTCTTCTAAAAAAAAAAAAATATGATTATCTTCGCTTTACTACCATATAAATTTCCCATAATGACTACTAGGTGCCACATTTATTGCCAAAATATTGCTCAGTTTAGATCGCATTTTTTTAGGAACGTAACCACCAATTTATAACACAGCTTACGGGTAAAATAACGACCCGCTTTACGACGGATTGACGAGATTACTGTATAAACAAATTTACTATAATTGGGTTTACCCAGATGTAAAATTAAGAATAGAGGACAAATCGGTGAAACCATCGCTTGTAATTGGTAGTGGGTTCGCACCTCGCCAACGTGAAGATTTCAGGGTTTTCACGTTGGTTAGGTGGACGAAAATATAATGGATCGGTTGATAAAAGAACAACTTAAAGCTGCACGCCATCTTAATTCCTTCCACACAACACCATAAAGTCCAATACGATATTATATCCGAAACAATCGATATTCCACAGTTTGGAATTAAATTGATAGTTGAAGACACTCGAAAATTCGAGAGATTTTGAAATAGATGTAAGACTATTAATTGTTTGTATAGAATGATAGAACAAGGCAACGAAACACGAGAGAAATCTGCCCTTTGGAAGGACATTCTACCATTCAGATGTGTGAAGAAACCTGGAAAATTCCACGTGTTTAACGTCTTTAAGTGTTGAATGATTTTATCCACTCGGCCACTACCAGATGAATTCCATGTTCTGCCAGTTCTTGAAGGTCGTTGTTGGTAAGGCTCTCACCAGAAACCTGCTGTAACTCCTCAATATCCTGCTCATCTACATCTCCTAGTCCTGCTGTATCGATTAGGTTGAGGTTGGTCAACCTAACAATACAGTGATAGTCTCTTCTCATTGAGAATTCTTGGATACCTTCAGCCATAACNGGAATTAAATTGATAGTTGAAGACACTCGAAAATTCGAGAGATTTTGAAATAGATGTAAGACTATTAATCGTTTGTATAGAATGATGAACAAGGCAACGAAACACGAGAGAAATCTGCCCTTTGGGAGGACTTTCTACCATTCAGATGTGTGAAGAAACCTGGAAAATTCCACGTGTTTAACGTCTTTAAGTGTTGAATGATTTTATCCACTCGGCCACTAAGTGTTGGGTTCGCGCCTCGTACGGTCTAGCCACATTTTGTAACACCTAAAATAGGGGTCAGTTTCCCATAGAAAGTCCTCGTGGGAGGTATCTCCGGCGGTGTCGCTTTGCCGTAACCAAATAAACCGAACCACGTGATTCTCGTGGTGCAATATATCTGGCTAATGAGATTTTGTTACTTTAGGAATGTTCATATAGTAAATAAACATACCGAATGTACAGTACCATTATCATTATACACTGGAGTTCAGTTTAAAAGTGAAGCCAAGTGCTACTGAATAGTTAACTTACTTTTGGTCCACCCTGTGTAGTGGAATTTCGACTTGACGCTATATTCAATAAATAAAATTTAAAATAATTTATGGTTTGATTATTTCCATAAAATAATAATAATAATAATAATTTTCCAGGAATATCGAGCGGTTTCCATTTTAAGAAATCAATCGGAAGTAATTAAGTCGAGGGAGAAAAAAATCCCCAAATTCTTTAACTGCAGACCAATTCCTCATTTTATTTATTGACTTTTTTTTTTTCATTTTTTTATTATTTATTTTTTGGGGGAAAACACAGCCGGAGTGTCTAACGAAGACCTGCCATTGCCGACAGACTGCTGAGTAATTGGGATCACACTGAAAGGTTTCTATAAATCTACAAAAATTAGGATTCTTTTTCTAACAAAACGACGAATTGTACTAAAATTAAATTAAAACAAAGAAGCAATACAATGACGTTTTAAATCAATTAAAAAAAACCATTATTTTTTTCATATACAATAAAACCTCTCAAGTTGAATATCCTATAATCTGTGTACCCCTTAAAACCATTGCTGTAGTGTTGTTCCCTTTATTGAGGACACCTCTTTAAATTGGACGAATTTTTATAGAACGATCAGTTAAAGACGGTGGCATCCTACCGCTATGGGGGGATCCGGGATCCCATCCCATTGTTAGCCTGGCCGAACTTGCGACAGGCTTTAAAAAAAGGCCCTCTTAGAGCCCATAAGGCAGAAGGAGTAAGAAAAAAATAGAGAGGGTTGACTATATTTTCAATTATACAGAACCATAAATGTCATCCAATACGATTATTTTTACATCCCATAAATGAAATATTCAGATTATTCCTATTATAATTAATTTCCGATTCAAATGTCAAAGGTCACAAATGCATCAGATCGAAGGAGGCTTTGTTAAGAGAAACGGGACTGGTTGATGACTTCTCTCTCCTTTAATACTTGTTTTTGTGTATATTCAAATGAGACATTAAATGATTCGATTTATCACTTGCAGAATCTTTCAGAGGGGTAGAACTCGCCTTTTTTTTTAAGGCTTCTATGGTATTAAAAAACAAAATAACGTAAACGATTGTATTATATTTTTCAAATAACAAAATTTGGCAAAAAATAATGTTTATTTTCTTAACACACACACAAAAATACTGTATAAAGAAATCACAAGATCCACAAGTAAGCTAAGATATAACTTAAGGCCTTTTGCGCTCGGAAACTAGAACTAAAGGCCTCGTGCTTCTAAGATTATTATTAAGATGAAGAAAGGGCAGCCCCTTTTATACTTTAGAACCTCAAATTTAAATTGGACTTTGAATAAAGTCCATAAGTTAAGGGGTATCATAAAAACCTTTTTTTAAGTGTGGATTGGATTTAGGAAATAAGACAAGTAAATACTTGGGCGGTCTGCCAGAAAGGATGCCTCATGAGAGGTTTTACAATAGGAAAGTATGCCCTAGTTAGATGTTATATACGTGAAAACACCAAAAAATCCACGTGGTAGTCTATTGTTCAGGCACCATTAGTGTTTTTACCCACTCGGTTATATGCCAGGCCAAGGACAAAATGGTCTTCAAGGCCTCTTCTGCGATAAGGCCCGATCATTTTTAAAAGTATTTATTTAACATTATACTAATTTATTGATATATAAATAATTTAGAGTAGTTAAATATAAACGTAGTAGTGGTAATTGTCATTTTGAACGTTGGCATTCGAAGATTGCAAGCTGGCCAACTTGTTTTCGCTTTAACTTCTGAAACTTTCATATATAAATGATATTAGGAAGTGACTAAGCTTTCGGGATGTCTGAGAATAGCAAATGATATTAATCTAAATCTTAAAGATTAAGCGAAAAAGAAACTAAATATGACGTTTTCGAAAACAGTAAAATGTCATCTTTCTAGCAAACGTAAACGTTTAGAAACTTCAAACGTTTACATTTTTCTTCTTTAGAAACTTCAGAGTCTTCATTACTTCCCTTTTCTTTCCTTTTCTTTTTTGATAGAATCTGAGATTCTTCATTTTCTTATTTCTTCAATAAACTCAGTCTTTTGTTTTTCTGTTAAAGACGTCACGTTTCGTCATTTTTTAAAAATATAAATCTCGGATTTCTCCTTTTTTTTTCTTTTGCAGAGACATGAGTCTTCATTTTTTCATCTTTAGACGACTCAGAGTCTTCATTTTTCTCTTGCAGAAGCCTGGAAGTCTTCATCTTTTCTTTAGTATAAACCTCAGAGGCTTCATTTCTCTTTAGTATAATCCTCAGAGGCCTCATTTCTCTTTAGTATAATCCTCAGAGGCTTCATTTCTCTTCAGTATAAACCTCAGCGGCTTCATTTCTCTTTTGCAGAAACCTCAAAATCTTCACATTTTCTTTCCCAAAAGCTTCACTTTTCGTTTTCTTTTGAAGAATTCTCAGTGTGTTTATTTTTCTCTTATAGAAATCTTCCAAATCTTCACAATACTCTTAAAATTAATACGTTTTTCTGACATTTTTATTAAAATTCGTAATAAAGATTGGCATCTAACATAAAACAAAAACACTTAAAATAGTTTAAATTT